ACCACCATCTAGCCTGCCTCTTCTGCCGAGCTGCAGGCGATCGACTGTCGGAATGACCGGCGATGATCGGCTTCAAATCGAGATAAGCGGCGCTGTCTCCTTCATGGTCCTAGGTTGAAAGCCGACGTAGAGGCTGATGGTATCCTGCTCCGGATACGAAGGGCAAGACATGCTATGGGGATGTCGTCATTGGAAAAACTTCAATCATTAGGAAAATCGGTTTGTTGATGTTCTTGAGTAGAAAGATCATTCTAATTTTGTGGGAATATCGAGGCCTTCTATGTTGGAAGGCACAACCAGTAGGTGCGTTTCGAAAGACTCTGCTTGACTTCAGATGGCTCGACGAGATATCGGGCCAGGCCTTCATTGCTTGAATCATTACCAAGATAACCTTGGAGAAAAATCATCGCTTCTCCTCAGCTACGGGGGGGAAAGTCTTGTCTCTCGCCACCTTTGATGGTCTCAAGACTGCTCTCTTAGTTGCCAATCATCCATGTAGGTCAATTCTGACGAAATTCTAGGCTACTGCTGTTCCACCAGTAACCCTGAAGCAGAAAGAGAGAAAAGACGTCAGGGGGCTACGTGGTCAGGCTTTTTTATGCGGGTGCTGTAGCCCGTAGTTAGGCTCGCCCACTGCGAACAGCGGTAAGTTCCCTTCCCAGCTCTCGAACCACTGCGGCGTTTTCTGCCGAAGTCTTTTTATTGGATAAATTGTGCATACCATACTGCAGGGGTATGTACTTTGGATCTAGACCACTGATCCCTCCGTCGTGTTCAGCGGCGTCCAGCAGGAAGAGCCAACGAGCCGCCTACTTTTTGAACATGGTGAAAGAGAACCACAGCCCACAGCAAGCTCATTACGGCAAGCGACAATGATATCATATGTGAGGATTCAACTGATGATCCAAGATGGCCCCTTCTGGTAATGCGCAAACACTCGAGTAAACCTTGGGAAATCCAGCCTGCGGTACGGGTCCGGATGGCTGGCCCCCGGTTTGGCCCTAGCTGTCAAACGATCGGCCGCATGATGGGGTTCTTGAGATGCATGAGCCAAAGCAATCAGCCGATTACTGTTGTGGCACAACCGGGTTCCCGGACCTTGGGCACAAAAGCAAGGATTACCAAAGCTAAAGAGAAGACCCTATCGCAACGTCACCGATTCATTGTGGGGATGTCTGGGGTCTCCAAGCAGATATGACCAGTATGAACATCAATTAGTTGGTTGCCAGTCATATATACAAGGTTTCACGTGTCTTGTTGCCATAGATCCCTTCATTAGGGCAATGAGCACTCTGCGCAAGGTCAGCAGTTTGGCCACTGTCATGTCCACGCTGAGCGGGCAGCGAATCGAAAACCGTGGCATCTGCAAGTGCCGGCCTGAATACGCCACTTGGTGGAACCCTTTCTCACGCCTAGGGCCTCATGCAACTCACATTGGCCACGCCTGAGGGGGCAAGCATCCTTCTCTTGGCGAATGTTCAAGCTTCCCTGGACCTTGACCTTTCCTACCTTCCCCACCCATGCAATGGACCGGACAACCCGCAAACAGTAGTGACACCTCACAACTCACCCAAGCACCCGGGATGCGGAAACAATCGAGGCCTGAGGAAGCAACGTTAGCCAGATATAGCAGTCATCACATATGGCCATGGAGGCGGCTGCTTCTTTGACTTGGTACTCTCAGTGGGGTTAATGTCCTTGGGGTTCTACGCATAATGACACCATCCTGGAGAATCTAAACAGTTTGTAACAAAGATATCTAGGTTCATATCAAGGGCTCAAACTTGTCGTATCAAATGTTGTCCTTTTGGCGAGACAGGAAGTCCATAGAGCTGACTGGGTGTTCTCGGTCATGATTGTTGGTCCGCGCTTCGAGCATGAAGGATCTCGCCTCTGGACCTCCATCCCTATTTGTGACATCTCTACGGCTATCATTGAGGAGAGAATCCCCATTGCACGTAGCTTTATGTCCTCATTAGTGATACTCAAACTCAAATACAAAAGTTTGATCTTGTTTCCTTTTGAAATGAAGATTAACATCGTGCGGGACGGTCGAGTGGCATTACATGAGCCAGGGCATCCAACTTTCCTGTGTAAAACATGCCCGGGAATGACGGCGAGCTACCCGTCCCGCTACGGGACGTAGTCCCTGCTTGGAGCAGGCATAATGTCAGGACACATTTAGTCCAAATGTGATGAGTCTCTTTCCTACACAATGTGAGCGTGGGGCTACAATAGAGCCATCATCTGTTGGTTTTTTAACAAGATCATGGGACCTCCTATTTCATGCCATGTACTCGATAAGCTGCTTTTCTTACGGGCCCCGAGAGCTCGCGGATACTTCTCATTCTACAATCAAAAAAGTCGACCGACACGTCCCCAACCCCAGGTCAACAAGGCTTACACCTTCAGGTTAGCATAATTATCAGACCCAGCACTTGAATATTCAATCATTTTTCAATACTTCTCCAAACGCACCCTTGGACACGTCTAGCTGTCAAACGCGTCTCTTCCACAATTAGCAAGATACCGAGTTGAAGAATACTCAGAGTCAACGAGCTCCTCCACGCTGCCACCGCCGGCATCTCACACCTCCTGTGTCACTTGTCCTTTCCGCACCACAGACCTATCTCCATACCATCCATACGCCAGTCATTCTCGCAGACGGCCATCCACATCGCATGACCCCATACCTGCGCGCTCAACTCAGACAACGCGCAGAAGCCCAGTGGAAGGCATAGAACAAGCGGTGTACAGGTCTTGCCGTCTGACACTGACTCCAGGGCCACCTTGTCCATCTATCGGCGCATCCGAGTGAACCCGAGTCTAAAGATGTTTATCAACAGAGACGCGCCCCAGGCGGTATTTCGAGAAACTTGCCCAGAGAGCTTTGCCACTCCATATCTAGGGTCTTTGCGAAACTCCATCTGCTCATCGCAGCCGCACTTTTACTTGAATAATCAACCACGCGGTATTCATTCGGGCTGCAGTCACCTAAAGCAAGCGACTCACAATCCTTATGATCAACTACTGCGGAGAAGCTCCCAACACTATCAAGACCGGGGGTTTCCGATCAAGCAGAACATGATGGAAAACACGGGACAGTGGGCGACACAGGGGGGCGACAGTCTGTCAGACAGCTTCGAGGTACGTGTTGGCCTGATCACCGTCCACAGTTTTGCCTCTCCATTCGTACATGATGCACCACATTTCGATATGTGACTGAAACCTCATCTCCCCATCTGCTTGTCACGTCAGGCAACTGCTAACAATGAGGCAAGGACAAACAGCTCCACAACGGATACCTGTCAGGGTCAGCCGGAAGCCCCTATTCACGTACAGAATTTTATCACGACATGGGTTTGCAACATGTGCCGACCACTCTATCGTCCTATCCGCGCCACATCCATCCCATCTCATCCCAGTTCCCAGAGTTGCCTTTTCACGATATGATAGAAGGCTTAATACCAGATGGCATGGCACCTTTGCCTCATGGTCAGGTTGGTCAAGGGCTCCATCAGACTGTACCTATGCACGGTCTTTCTTCCCATCACTTTGGCGCAGCAATGTACAACGACTTGGTTGATAACCCGGGTAGCGTTCTGGAAACATTCGGCAGTTTCTCTTCTGCTTCGCAAGACACCAGTGTCTCTCAAGGTCTTGGTGCCGTCAGTAGCTCCTTCAGCTCAACCGGTAGCAGCGGTGCTGCCGATTCCTTTCATCCCTTCGAAACCAGCTCCTGTTCGCAGTTTGAAGGGCAACCCTCGAACGCTCGAACTCTCTACCCACAAGACATTCACAGGAGGATTCCCTCGCCCTGCATGTCTGACATGGGAAGAGAAACGGCGCTCGAAGTCGGAGGGCACTCTCCCATAGCAGACGCACCCGACATGACGTCAAAATTGCCGGTCAAGGCCAAAAAAGCCAAGAGCAAGCCTGGCAGAACCTCAAAGTCGAAGCAGTTTTCGAATCGTGCGATCCAGCCAAAGATAGCCGAGTCCAAGGGTGCTGCTGGCATCCGTAAAGAGCTTCCAGACAGAGCAACCAAGTCCCTGAAGCCACGATCCGGCTCGCTGAAGCCATCGAGCGGCACTTTAACAAGGCCAAAGTCTTGCCACATCATGTCAAACGTTCCGGTTCCTGTCCAGGGCACAGTTCCGGTATCTATGCCGATACAAGGGGACCAGTTACATGCGCCGGTCAAGCCCGTGTCATCTACAGACTGGAGCATGGAGCGCCTGGCCAAGGACGAATTTCTGCTCCGCTCAAAGCGTGAGGGCATGACATATCGTGAGATACGGAAAGCAGGAGGCTTCCGCGAAGCTGAGAGCACACTTCGGGGGCGGTACCGCACCCTGACGAAGAAGAAGGAAGAGAGGGTGCGCAGGCCAGAATGGGAAGACCGAGATGTATGCATTTCCCTCTCCTGGTCCCGTCAAGTGCTTCTCTTCAACAGAATACTAACAATAGGCTTTGGCAGGTTCAACTCCTTCGTCAAGGGGTGGCCAAATTCGCCAAGGAAGCAGAGAATGGTCGGATGAAAGTACCGTGGAAGCAAGTGGCTGAGTACATTCAGCAAAAGGGAGGTTCCTACCTCTTCGGCAATGCAACATGTCGAAAGAAGTGGGATGAACTTGTTCAGAATGGGGACGAAAACGGCGATTACGGCGAAGAAGAGGAGTGAACGAGGTAGGATCGATGGCACGGGGGGAAGGGGAGGGGGTTCATTCAGGAGATGGATACTGGTCTCATTGGGGGGGCACTGGGGGAGACCGACTCGATCAATGAAGTTGGAATGGAGGTTGAGTTTCACTATTGCCGGCGGCTGGATTCGAAAACGAGGGACATTGGTGTTGATCACCATGTTTGCGTGTCTTGCAGAGCGTCTCGAGGGTTTGCCCTTGCTGGGCACGGGCGTGTTTGCTTGATTGCTTTTTATTTCGTCATGACTTGAAAAGCAGACGAATCGCTGACACAGGCTGATTTCAATAAATGCCATATCAAAGTCTACCTGGCTTGCTGTCGGCAGTCGGGATTCCGATTCTCGATAAAATGGCCGCTAAGGTGGATGCACCCATGTCAATATCCTCGCGTAGTGCATCCCACTCAGCTTCGCTTTTAACGAGCGCTGTTCCCGCGAGGACTGTCCCGTTCAGACTCAAAGTCACCTCTGTCCGGCTGTTCCCTGTCAAAATAGTAACACCGTCACGCAGGCGGGGGCAGACCACCAGTCGCGTCTTCGTTAATGCCATGTTGTAGCTGATTTCAGCTTCTCCAGAACCCGACGTGGGGGTATCATCCAATTCTCCCACACGCTCCTTCACTGCCGCAACAGCGCGACGGTAGAGCGTCAAGTAAATCTCATGTAGGCTTTCCATTGAGGTCTCATGCCCAATGTTGCTGGAAAACGTCTTGAACGGTGTATCTTTCTGGTCAAGCCGATCGGCCAAAATAGTCCAGTCCCCGATGTCTTCCAGGCCAGCCTTCATCTGAGCTACTGGCAGTAATTGAATATGCCGGTGGGGCTGGCTTGCTCCCGAATGAGACCCGCTGTTGAAGAAGGCGAACAACTCACCGTCCGTGTTTGTGTCAAGACCGTACTGTCGGTACGCTTCGATACAGGCGTACGTCGCGGCGAGATCATCGGCCTCGAGTAGATGAGTCTGCTCCTTGAAATCTTTGGTGGCAAGTATGAAGTGCTCAGGGACAATAGCGAATTTGTTGAGGACTAGGTTATGTGCCGGGGCGATTTCACCAACGTAAAGAGGACCGTTTTCTGGGCTCTCGAAAGGGTCGAATGGCTTTTGGGTTGTGGCGGCAGTTTTGGACTTGGGCGCAGTCGGCTTACTTGCTAAAGCTGGGGCAAATCGTAATTGGAACTGTAAGTCATGTGAGTGAAGGACTTCGTAACCAAGTCTTTCAAGCGCGCCAACGTACGGGTATGGAGCTTGGGGCAAGAATTGTCACTTGAGTCTCGAAGTAGGTGAGGTCTCCCTGGGACCTGGCCCGGCCGAAAGCAGCCTGCACTACCTCGGGAAGCTTGCTGGGGACTTTGGGGAGAGGCATGGCGAGATGATGTGGTAGCGAATCGCGATATCTGGCTTGTGGTGATGGAAGACCTGGAGTTCGGCCAGGTTGAAGGCCCCTAATTGGAGGCTGCTAGGCAGTGACGTGTGCGGATCTCACCGAATGTCACCGAGGCGTAGGCACATGGGCGAATTTCGGCACCGATCTTTGGAGACAGTCCTGCGAATTCAAAGCGTCCGAAATAGCAATCATGGATGCGCGATAAAGGAAGCATGTCTAAGGTCAATTCATCATTCCAATATTATACAGTCTACGTTCTAATCATCCCACTCCTCATCTAGCTGGTCAATCAAACGGTTTTCATCCTCTCGGTTCCGACTCCTACTCGGTGAGCCAGCCAGATGGCTGTAGCCTCGTCGTCCAGGAAGCAGCCTCGAGCAAAGCGAAAGGGCTGCATAGAAGACATCCTGTTGAACACGCACACGTCAGCCATAGACAGGTCACTTCCGAGGCGACCGCGAAACAAAGACGCATAGGAATCGCTTAAGCAGTCGCCCGAGCAGGAGGAAGCGTACGCATATGAAGTTCCAGATGCCCGCCCACAGAGTATAGTTGGGCAGCTGACGCCAACCGCGGGCGTGCTCAACAGTGCGGTTGTAGAACACACCGCCGCCAAAGTACACGAGCACGGCAATGGCGAAAATAATAGCAAAGACGCTGCCGGGGCCGACACTGCCAGGCTGGTGCGGCTCTGCGCGAGCGCAGGCATGAGCCGATCTGATCTCGAAGAAGTAGGCGCATTCTTCAGGATCGGTGCTCACAAAGGAGACGCCTATTTGGCCTGCAAGCTGCTCCGGCTCACAGTGGAAGGATAGAGTCGCCGACTTGCGGCGGACCGGTTTGTTCTTCTTTTCGTCGTCAGAATCTGTCGCTTTGGCGAGTTTCTCTCCATCAAAACCCTTGTAGGAATCGTGCGAATCTTCCCGCTTCGTTTTGTTATTCTCTTTGAGTTTATCCGCCCCGCATGGCGATCCGCCTGTATATTGGAGGACGAGCATGCGACCGTGGCTTTGAAGATCTAGAGATGTTTGTCTGTAGCACACCGATCAGTCATTGTCCCGACGACACCCGCTAAAGACTCATGGCAACGAACCCTATAGAGTAGACTTCGTCTTGGTATGTGTAATAGGCGCTGACGTTTTTCCACTCGTCCTTGCCTAGCCCCACGACATCCTCGACAGGATCCGCGACCGGCGCGCAAATGTTGAGTGTGAAGTTTCGTCCATAATCATAGCCCCTTGCGTGGTAATCGCTCGTTGCCGAACCGCTTTTCGCAGTCTTGCCCTCCTCGGGGATTGCGGCAATGTCGGGTCGCAGGTCGAAGAATGCGCCGCTCGTCTTGGAAACAGCTGTACACGCCGGTGGGCTAGGTGTCGTCGATGGCTTTTCCTCTGCAGCGAACGAGACGCTTGCCGAAGCGGCCAGGAGCAGGGTGAGAGCGCGGTTCGTAGGGAAATGCATCGTGTTTCAATGGTCTCAGCTCAGGGGGTCGCCGTGGAGAGTAATTGAAGGCGCCGGGTGGCGCGATGGGACGCGTCGAAAAAGCGATGCTAATATCATCAATTGAAAGAGGCGGATCGATAGAAGGAGAATAGCAGAGCTGCAGAGAGCGGTTGTCTATCAACCTGACGTCAAAGTCGTCATGTGCATTCAACAATCTGATGTCTCTGTCAAGCCAAATTAGAGGTATCGAACATGGAACACCTGGCCATTCATCAGCCTCGTACAAGACACGCGGCAATTGGCGGGCTGGCCAAGCCATCCACCATTTCGACCTACCTGCAGGCACCGCCTTGGGTGTGATAAGACCTGCTGACTGGTGGCCGACAGTGGAAAGATGAGCGAAGGCGACAGGACACCATTCATCCGAGAAATACCCGTCTAACAGAAAGCAGAGAATCCACAGTGACCTCATCACTACTGCCGGTGTGTTGATCTCGGGACCTAATATTCCCAAGGCACAAGGCAGTGCATGTCCCTGCGATGCGAATGCTGAAGGCACTGACGCAGTCGACGCAGTCAACGCAGTCAACGAGGCCAAAGAATGTGGAAATCCGCCGGTCACGTTTGCTTCATTACGAGTACGAGGGTAGGGCAGTCCTGTTGCCCAGCATGGTTCGATATGGAAGAGATCCGGCCCGGAAGCAGTGTGGGGCGGTCATTTGGTTCCTCCGAGCCCCATGCTGTCGATTGACTTGCTCCAGGGACCAATCAAGTATGAGCATCATTGAAATTGAATCAACCCGACCGTGCTTCAACTTGTCAGGTCACCCGGAAGTCAAGATCCCCGGCTGCAAAGCTTCTTTTGGGCCTTCCTCAAGTTCGCGCCAACTGTCGCGAATCGGCCCCCGCGCATTCCGAGCAGTGTCTATTCTCCTCTTCCATAAGAGAGAGAGCCTGCGCGCCCATCGACCAGCAGTACACCAGGATCAATAACATATACACCAACTACACCATGGCTGGACAGAAAAAGGAGGTCGCATCGAGCGCCCCGCCTCATGGCTACCACTTCGGCGGACCGTAAGTTTTACCCAAGAAAGACGAGGCAGAACGGGATTGACGATCTCTAGTTGGGGTACCGCCGGCGTTTCTACCATCCTCCCCATTGTCGTGTACGCCCTCGCATTCGCCTGCAACGACGTCTCCGGCTGCCCTGCCCCGTCTCTCCTTGACCCGAAAAATATCGACTTGGCGCAGCTCAAGCGTGAGGTTGGATGGCCAGAACAAGGCGTTTGGGGCCTGGGTAGCATTAACGCTACTCTGGCTGTCGTTGGGTACTTCTTCTTCAACGCCCTACTGTACCGGTTCCTTCCTGCTCAGGAAGTAGATGGTGTCGTACTGGCCTCCGGCGGCAAGTTGAAGTACAGGTTCAACTGTATGTTGTATTTCCATTCCTTCTACTGAATCACCGAGTTCTAATTAAGCTCAGCCTTTGCATCGAGCATGTTCATCGTTGCGATCCTCGCCGCCGGGACTGCCCTTGAGGGTGCCGACTGGGCTCTCTGGGTCTACATCTCCGACAACTATATACAGATTCTCACGGCCAATATGATTTTGGCTTTTGTTATTGCCACTTACGTCTACGTTCGCAGCTTCAGCGTCAAGCCTGGGAACAAGGAGAACCGCGAGCTTGCCGAGGGTGGCCACTCAGGCAACCTCATTTACGACTGGTTCATTGGCCGCGAGCTCAACCCGCGCGTCACGATCCCAATCATTGGCGAGGTTGACATCAAGCACTGGATGGAGGTCCGCCCTGGTCTTCTCGGCTGGGCCATCCTCAATTTTGCCTGGATCGCCAAGCAGTACCGCACATATGGCTTCGTCTCCAACAGCATTGTCTTCATTTCGGCCATTCAGTTCCTCTATACGGTAGATTGCTGGTGGAACGAGCCTGCCATTTTGACGACCATCGACATCACCACCGATGGGTTCGGCTTCATGCTGTCCTTTGGCGACATTGCATGGCTTCCATTCATCTACTCTATGCAGACGCGGTACCTGTCCATGTACCCCGTGTCCCTGAACGCCTTCCAGGTGACTACCATTGGAGCTACCATCTGCCTGGCCTATTACATCTTCCGTGCCTCCAACAACCAGAAGAACAAGTTCCGCACCAACCCCAACGACCCCAGCGTCGCCCATCTCAAGTACATTGAGACCAAGGCTGGCACCCGCCTTCTCATCTCTGGCTGGTGGGGTGTCGCCCGCCACATTAACTACCTTGGCGATTGGCTTCAGGCGTGGCCATACTCTCTTCCCACAGGCATGTCGGGTTACCAGATTCTGACTGCGGGTTCCGGCCTAGTTGAGCAAGGCGTAGAGGGTGCCTTCAAGACCCTTGACGGTCGTGAGGTGGTACAGGGTGCCGCTCGCGGCTGGGGCATTCCTGTTACGTACTTTTACGTGCTTTACTTCGCGATCCTGCTCATTCACCGCGACCGCCGCGACGATGACAAGTGCGCACGTAAGTACGGTGATGACTGGGAGAAGTACAAGAAGATTGTCAGGTGGAAGATTCTTCCTGGCGTGTATTAGGCGGTACGGAGCTCCCCATCAGTCTGCACACCTTCGGCCCTTTTCTTCACGACCCATGACTTCAGACTGTGGGGTTAGGCTGCGCGTCCGGGCATGATAGCGGGTTTTGACATGGCACAAAATCGCGGCTCGCCGGGTCTGGGATCTTGGGACCCAAGCCCGGATGGCGGACACTGTGCCATGCGGAGTAGAGGCGCAGATGTAAAATTACTTTACTCGATACACTTGGTAATACGTTCAAAACTGTTCTTGAACCAAACTTGTTGAAATCCACCGAACCCAACCATCTAAATGAAGGATTTGCGGACATGGTGATAAATTCGAATAGCATGAACACTGCTGGATTCTGCAGCTCAAGTGGCCAGCTTGGGAATAGAATTATGACTACAATTAAATCGTACACAAATGGGGGCCTATGACACTGCCACCCGTCCACCAGGGCGGGGAGGGTCTGCGTGGTGTCTCTTGGCTAACAGGCATTAGAGCACCTACTTGATTCTGGATTGTGTGAATTTCACTTGAACGGCCCGACCGCCGCGTGGGCACCTCGTACGCTAACCGTTGAAGAAGGGAAATAGCTGCTTAACCACCAGGACCAGCCAGCCACTCCATCTTCCTACCCCGCGATTGATGCCACGGCGTCTCCATGTACGCCGGACCTCGGTGTGGGGAAGAGAGAAGAAATCGTGTTTGGCCGTAAAAATGAGGGGAGAGGGCTCTTGATCGACCGTTCAGGATGTGGGTGGGGCATGGCGGTTGGAGGTTGCAGCGGGTGGCTTTCAGCGTACAGAAGAGGCTCAGATGCGAGTGTGGGAAGGGAGAAGAGGGGGCAAGGTCATTCGATATACAGTGGAGCACTGTCACCTTGAAGGTTGCGTCACGCTGAGGCTGGAGCTGAGGTCGTGGTTCTAAGTGAGGCGGCCTGGTGAGTGAGCATAGCCGCAAGCTTGATCCAAATATGCGGCTTGGTGTTCACCAGCCGCTAGTCGGCGTGATGGCAGGCGTCAGACAGATGCTTCTCAAATGCAGTCAATCTGGACCAGCTCCTGCAAGAAACACGAGGCATTTGCAGCTGACTTAGGATCAACTGAGACGTTGCCCAAGCCCTCCATCTCAAGACAATCTCCTTGTTTTCGAAAGAAGGAATTCAAGCCTGGCATTGCTTTTGCAACTCCCTGGATCCGGTAGCAGTGTGTTGCCTGCTTGTGCTTCAGCTCAAGCTTTATCCCCCTTGGCGAGCCGCGCCTGTACTCCCATAATGGGGCACAATCGTCGGTGTTTTTGTCCCAGCACTGCCCGGTACATGCATGAACAGCGTCCAGCGTTGCATTCGTCGGCTTGGGTCCATCCAATATGGTGCCATGAAGTCATGATATCCTGTGGGAGGGCTCGAGACTCGAACAAAAACTTTGGGGGGAGGGGAGAGCTCCATTTTCCCCCGCACCGGTCGGCTAAGGTACCCATCGGTTTTTGCGAGACGCGCACTGGCCGGCACTTGCCAGTGACGGACATGGTACCTCCTGCAGCGCCAAGCTGAGCAGCCGCAATAAGTGTCTTTGATGTCGTCCAGACACCCTGCACCCCTCTCCCGTGTGCGTCAACATCGTCACTTGCTCACCACTTTGAGCGGCGCCCTTGTCGATCATCACTTCACCACTGCCACCTTACTCCCTGTTACCCAGTCCTTCCCACCATCTGAGTCGGTTCAATCTTGCATCTTGATCGGCCCTTTTCTCCTCATGGCCTGTCTACACGAACTGTCTCGCGCCTCGAGACTGGCTGCCCGACATGGCCGCCTGCAGAGCACCACACGCTGTGTTCCCATGGCTCAGTGCCCCCGCCCCCCCTAACATGGCTTCTAGAACCTTACTTGTGATCGCCAGTCCTTATTTGCAGCCGGCTGCGAATTAACTGAATAATAGCCGTCCATTTTACGTGGTTTTCAGGCCCACAGCCTCCGAAGGACTAAGTAGCGAGCCGAATCCTGCCCGGCACTTGGGCGTGTTTCGATATAATCGTCAGGCCCGCCTTAATGTTTCCATCCACTCCGCAAAGATGAACCAGGTTGTTTGGCATCCGACTTCCCTTTGCTGCCGCATCCATATCCACCTGCCATCCCTGACCGAGCTCTCCTTGTTCTCCCACCATCCTTGCCCAAGGTAGTCCCCCTCAACCCGGAATCTCCGAAGTTGTCCAGCATTGGGTTATAAGGCCAGTCTTCCTCGGCTGCCTCTCAGATCTTGACGACCTGGGTCTTCAGTAGCCACGCCCGTTACAACTTGAGACTCTTGCAAAGCAACTACCCGCGACTCGACCTTTTCCTATCAGACAAGATTGCGACGGATCTAAGTCTGCCTTTACCCGATGGTTGTATACTCTAGATATTGAGCATCATTGGACGACCATTGCCCGGACTGCAAGCTTGACCGGTACCATGAAGCTGACCATCGCTACTGCCTTGCTGGCAGCCAGCGGGTGTGTCTCTGCGGGACAACCCAAGCTCAAGGTACGTACTTGCCTCTTTTCACGAGGAAACCAAGCCTGCACCGTAACGGCGATGGAGTAGTCGTGCTTTCCTCAACCCGAATCAACCCCAGGGTACCCACACCGCGTTTGTGCATTCCATTTTGCTCCTCTGTTCTCTGTGAACCCACGCTCTTCAAACATTCGACATAGCACCACTTCATCTCCGTTTTCGAGCAATATCCGGCCGCAGAGAGCGGGCTTGCACTTCATCACAATCGTTTATGCCTCGTGCCCAAGTACCATGTTTCTCCCCAGTATTCTACTTTTAAGAGCCTTGACCCCCGTTATCGACATCTCGTCACCAAGCCTCGCCGACACGGACTCTGTTTCCCTTGGAATTGACATTCGAGCCAATGCTGACCAGTATCCTCAGCGCCAGACTAACAGCTCTAGCGAGCTCGCCTTTTCCCCTCCGCACTACCCTTCTCCATGGATGAACCCCCAAGCGACTGGCTGGGAGGACGCCTACGCCCGTGCCAGAGAGGTTGTAGAGCAGATGACTCTGCTCGAAAAGGTCAACCTGACGACAGGTGTCGGGTAAGCTTCATAGACCCCGTCGTGCCATCCAAATTCATCTGACAGAATCCTAGCTGGAGCGGTGAACTCTGCGTCGGAAACGTCGGCTCGATCCCCCGAATCGGCTGGAGGGGGCTTTGTCTGCAGGATGGCCCACAGGGTATTCGTTTCGCGGACTACGTCTCCTACTTCACTTCGAGCCAGACAGCTGGCGCTACCTGGGACCGAGGGCTTCTGTACCAGCGCGCTCACGCCATTGGCGCCGAAGGAGTAGCCAAGGGCGTCGACGTTGTCCTCGGGCCCGCCATTGGCCCTCTAGGCCGCCTTCCGGCCGGAGGTCGTAACTGGGAGGGTTTCGCCGTGGACCCTTACCTCAGTGGCGTTGCTGTCGCCGAATCCGTCAGGGGCATCCAGGATGCTGGTGCCATTGCCAACGTCAAGCACTACATCGTCAATGAGCAGGAACATTTCCGCCAGGCTGGCGAGGCTCAAGGTTACGGCTACGATGTCGACGAGGCATTATCGTCGAACGTCGACGACAAGACCATGCATGAGCTTTACCTTTGGCCATTTGCAGACGCTGTTCGTGCTGGAGCCGGCAGTGTCATGTGTTCTTATCAACAGGTGGGGCCAATACCATTCTCTCAACTTCCCTTGCAGACGGTTCGCTGACCGACCTTTTTGTCTAAGATCAACAACAGTTACGGCTGTCAAAACTCCCATCTTCTGAATGGGCTCCTCAAGGACGAACTCGGCTTCCAGGGATTCGTCCTCAGCGATTGGCAAGCACAGCATGCTGGAGCTGCCACTGCCGTTGCTGGACTTGACATGGCTATGCCCGGTGACACTCGCTTCAACACCGGAGTCGCTTTTTGGGGCGCTAACCTTACGAACGCCATTTTGAACGGCACCGTTCCCGAATATCGTCTCGATGACATGGCCATGCGTATCATGGCGGCCTTTTTCAAAGTTGGAAAGACCCTGGACGATGTTCCTGACATCAACTTCTCGTCTTGGACAAAAGACACCATCGGCCCGCTGCACTGGGCGGCCCAGGACAATGTGCAGGTCATCAACCAACACGTTGATGTCCGCCAAGACCACGGCGCCCTTATTCGCACCATCGCTGCCCGTGGTACTGTCTTACTCAAGAATGAGGGATCACTGCCTCTAAACAAGCCGAAATTCGTTGCTGTCATTGGTGAAGATGCTGGCCCTCGTGCTGTTGGTCCCAATGGCTGCCCTGATCAGGGTTGTAATAACGGCACTCTGGCTGCTGGGTGGGGATCTGGCACCGCCAGTTTCCCTTATCTCATCACTCCTGATAGTGCTCTTCAGTTTCAAGCCGTTTCAGACGGCTCGCGATACGAGAGCATCCTCAGCAATTGGGACTATGACCGCACAGAGGCCTTGGTTTCCCAGGCGGACGCGACTGCTCTGGTTTTCGTCAATGCAAACTCAGGCGAAGGTTATATCAGCGTTGATGGAAACGAAGGTGATCGCAAGAACCTCACGCTCTGGAATGGAGGAGACGAGCTTATTCAACGAGTCGCTGCGGCCAACAACAACACCATCGTCATCATCCATTCGGTTGGTCCTGTCCTAGTCACTGACTGGCACGAGAACCCCAATATCACGGCTATCATCTGGGCCGGCTTACCCGGACAGGAGTCTGGCAACTCTATTGCCGATATTCTTTACGGCCGCGTCAATCCTGGTGGCAAGACACCTTTCACCTGGGGCCCCACTGTTGAGAGCTACGGCGTTGACGTCCTAAGAGAGCCCAACAATGGCAATGGTGCTCCCCAGAGCGATTTCGACGAGGGAGTCTTCATCGACTACCGTTGGTTTGACCGGCAGTCGGGCGTCGATAACAATGCATCAGCACCGAGGAACAGCAGCAGCAGCAGCAACGCCCCAATCTTCGAGTTTGGCTATGGCCTGTCGTACACAACCTT